CCCACCGACTTTGTTCGTTAATCTTTGCGGTACTACCGTAGGACGGGTGAACGTCTGGGGTGGAAGCGATTGCCGAAAAAGCTGCCTCGGTCGGGATACGCCTCCGTGTACATCCTGCTGCTGATGACGGTCATCACGTCCCTCACTGTCATCATCGCACCGAGACTCACGGTGCGGTACGCTCTGAGATACAACTACGGCGGTGAAGGTCGACCGCGACACCCAGCCTCGCGCTTCGCTTGCACTTTTTTTTTCACTAAGTCTCTGGCTTACGATATTTCGAGTCCAACGCAATAGTAGTCAATTCCATCACATCGGGCGTTTGTCCTAACCTTGGCAACGCGCCGACTTGCAGCAATGCAAACCACAAGCACGCAACGTTTAACAGTGTTTTCTGCTGCCCCCAGTCGACGTATTCGCAGACCCCAGCCTACATATTTGCTGTGTATTCGTTTGCTCCTGGCTGCAAGAAGCTGTTCGTCTGGCGCTGCCGCGCGGCAGGTTCGCTGTGTTGCTTCAAGGAACAGCACGGATCCACTGATTTTAGCCTATCGGTCATTATTGTGCTGCATACATCTGGCCGTTTCAAGAGAGCACTTGTATCGGGGGCATTAATTGTTTCTGGTAGTCACGGGCGTAGGATCGTGTTGTTCCTCGCTGCTGCCTCGTGGAGAAATGCCAGTCGAAGTTCCACCGGTGTTGCTGCTGCTTTGGTTCAACGCCTGCTAGCGCTGTGTTCTTGTGTGTTGTGCTTATCCTGTTGTCCGTCCAGGTTGAGTCTCAAATCCTGGTCCAAAAACTGAGTGAGCAGGACAATCCCTACACCATCATCGCGTCATGGGTAGGTCCGACGTTGCTCTAAATACCAAATGCACCAACTTTTGCGTGTGCGAAACCAAGTTGGTGCTCGAGCGGTCCTCCTCCGTCGCCGAAATGCTGTTGTCTGCTATGCACGGGGAAAGCTCTGGGATTCCCTGCATGTTGGGGTTGAAATCCATGTAACTCGAGCTTGTGCCTGGTCTCCTTTGTGCTAGGCGAATGAGGATGTTCTGGTTAGGCCAGCACTGGCGCTGGCTGTTTCTTCGGTGTTCGTTTACCTGATTGTAGCAATGAACATGTTCGTTCCCACCTTCGATCAGATGAGGAGGAACTTCGGAGAGGAGGCTTTGGCACGGCTGGAACCGTTTTTGCTGTCCGTCACCGGAGACCAAGGCAGGATTTTCGCAGGGTAAGACGCGTGTACGGCAAGCACGGCGGTATCAACCGAACACAGTTGTCTCCGCCAAATTGTCGACAGCAAGGATGATAACATGGTTAAGGATATAATGCAGCAAGGGTAACCATAACCAGAGGTCCATGCATGGGATGACCGTAGGACGAGAACAACATTCCATACCCTAACATGGGCCGCTGCTACGTCGGTGCTTGTGTTTGTTATTCTTTGTCTTTTCCTCCAGATACCCGGACAGCTCGTTGGTGACGATCACGTCCAAGCTCCAAGATAAGGCTGCGTGGGGCGAGCAGCGCTACGCGCGCTTCGCCAAGCTGCTGCAATTCTGTTTAAGCGACTACTTCAGGAAGGGGCTCAACATGTGCAGTACCGTGGTCGGAGACCTCACCAAGGTTCTCTATAAGGTACAAGTTTCCCCTCACGGATTATGTTCCATCCCCCGTCAATGAGATACCGTAGATCAGAAATAACACGTGCAGACCTCTCTCTTTCGTTTCGCGTGAACCAAGCCAAAAAGTGTAACGCGTTGTTTCCATTCTGCTGATGCTGCTCTATCCCTGCACTCTGGAAGGAACCTCCACGATTATGTAATGGTTAGCGAGTTCGATCGAGAATTTTTGCATGAGAATGGTCTAGAATATGTGCCTTCCCACCTGCTTCAAGGAGGTGCGGTAGACGTTTCCCTGTTCACTAGTCAAGGCGCCTTAGAATAGACTCTAGGTGTTGATCGGAAGGATCTCAACCTAGCCATCAAATCGGGTAGACAGCTACAATAGCAGTCGGAAATCGTTACTATCCTACCCTTTGTGTCTCCTGGCGATGTTGGCGAAGGACCTGCGTGACACCACTGGTTGGTGGTTGTGTTGCAAATTATCCTGAGACAGTGCTGCAGTAGATGCTTGTGCGGCTGCTCCCTATCCACGCGAAGGTCGCACACTTCTCACTCGACAAGATGAGCGGTTCACAATGCGACGGCGATCCACTTCGACAACGCCTTCGGGTTTGTTTGGCATCCCGTTCGTGACTATTATTTGGGCTAGGTTTGGTTAGGTTTCCTCTTTCTTCTTCGTTTTGCCGTCGCTCGCGTTCTATGTCTTCCAGATGATTTTTCTCGCTCCAGGTGAACGGCTCAGACCACCCGCGCCACGTAGTATTTCTGATCATGCCCGCCTTAACCCACAGTGGGTTTGCACTTTGATTCTGGGTCACGTCTCTTCTTGGTTTGGTGGTGCGCACGCTCCCGCGCGTTCCCTCCTTGCCTTTCTATCTGGATGTGTGGCCGCAGGCGATGGTTTCTCTGTTGTTCAGCTTCATGGTGATCTGGGACTTGCCCAACCTTCGTCGGGGTGTGACCGCCCTCAAGACCTCAAGGCTCAGCTTCGCGTACAACACCATATCTCCCCAGGTGCGTGTGTCGGCATGTGCGTGCCGTCAAGCAAGAGGGGCAAGGCGGCCGCCAAGCGTGTTCCGGCCTCCACCACGACTCCGGCCTTCAACGCGTACTCCCCTCGCGTGATGTTCAGTGAACCTTTCACTGCCAGCAGACTCATGAGTACTCATGTCCTGTGGTCAAGCGGAACCTCGTTTTCGAGTCGTCCTCAAATACATTTGCTGGCAGTGAAAGGTAGCATGGGTGTGTTCGGTAGGGTACGGGTACGCTCGGTAGGGTTTGGAGGGCCGTACTGAGCGTACCAGGAATTTCGGTAGGTATGGAGGGCTACCGAGGCGTACCGCAACGCTCAGTAGGGTACAATACCGGCGGAAGTACCGGTGGTGTACCTCGGTACGTTCCCTACCGAACACATCCTTGAAAAATTGCACAGCATCAAGCGCGAAACACGGAAGACTTTTGCATACAGGAGCGATGCTGGTGCGCGCCCGCCTTGGAAATGTAGATAACGTCTCGAGTTTTCAACCACGTACCGCCGTGTGTCCCAAGACTAGAATGCCGACGTGCGAAATGATCCTGTGTGCCACGTTCGGATGCGAACGTAACGCAGGTGAGCATATTTGCCAAGCTGGTTGGGCAGAGCTTCGAAGTCCAATGTGAGTCGGTTAGCTCAGCTTGTTGTTGTCAACTCTTGAACCGAAATGGTTCAGTTTCGACACCTCTGGTTTCTGCTGCTCACTTGCGCCTTACGTCTCGCTGTGTATGGTGATTTAAGTACGGACGCACACTCGTTTGGTACATGTGCACCTTGCCGTTTCCTCTGTACAGAGTTATTACGACCCCAGGTACAGTTGACACACTTGTCAGGTTCAGAACGCACCCTGCTCACATCCTTCCGTATGCATATTGGATTGCAACCCGTGGTGTGAGCTAGACCGTTTTGTATTTTTTTCGCGAGAAGTATTTCTACGCATCCCGACAGCTTGACAGATACTTGGTTGGTGCAGAAAGAACCAGGAACTCGAGAGTATGAAGGCGTTGACTCTCAAGGAATGTTGTGAGGAAGCCTGGATGAGCGATGACGATGATGGTCGGCTTGTCTCGCACGAGCGATCCACGTGAAGCCAAAGTGTGCTTGCTTCCCGTTGCTCTCCTCCTTTCCACTAAGTACACCCACTCTTTCGCTTCTCGTACCTGGCCTATGCGCTTTTTCGGCCGGACTGCTGGATTCTTCTCACTTGTTTGGGCAGTCACGATCGCGGTCATCAACACCATCCTCACTACAGCAGGTGCGTCCCGCGACGGGCAACTGCTGTGTCGCCGAGTGTCATCTGCCCGGTGTGGTGCAGAATACTCCCCGCTGGCCGGCATCCACCCCTTGGTTGTCCTTGGAAGGATATTATTGGCGTTTTATTGCTGTGAGCTTCGTATATGCAGTTTGTTCGTCGGTATTTTGAGTCAATTTCAACAATATGATGTACATCCATTTCACAACCGTGTTCTCAACCGTACCTCCTTCGAACCACAAGCTGTCACGTCGACGCGCGATCGTGGGCGAAGTGTCGGCCACGAGTGGTGTTTGGGCGTTCAAATTAGGAAGGAAAACATGGAAAGGCTTCTTCGAAACAGTTCGGTATTCGTTGTAGACTCTATCCACGAACGGCAGCGTAAGCGTGTTGTTGACTGCGCCTGACAGCTGTGCCGTGCGGTTTGTTCTTTGCAAACTACGGTAAGTCCGTTATTTTGCAGATTGTTCGTGTTTGGTCACAAGGTTAGCGTTGCTGCTTTCGTACCCCCTCCCGACGTCTCGAAGGCTACGGAGATAACACGCACGTTGCCATGGTGTGGTGCCAGTTGCGCTGCGTCGTGCACCCACACATTGGTGTACCATGGGCGCTGTTGGGTGGCACCCTCTTGTGGTTCATGCGACGCAGCGCGATCAAAAGTTGCGTATATGATGCGTGGTGGAGAAATGACGTCGATCGACCGCTTTCCATGCGGTTCTCCCTCGTGCCGCGCAATATTTAACGTTCCAGGTCTGATCGCCCTGGGTGTGAGCGGGCCACTAGTGCTGTCCTTCATCGTGTTCCTCTGCAGCTTTGTGCCTGTCATCGGCGTCTTTATCTCCACCTTGCCAATGGCTGTCGCTGCTCTGGGTGACTACGGCATGTCCAAGGTACGTGTATCACAACCCCCGAACTCGGTGAAATGTCTTGGGTGTCGGAGGCACCCTGCCATAGTGGTCTTGCGCTTGCGTTCGGGAGTTATCGCGGCCTTCGACGCAGAAGTGTTTTTGTGCGAATCACGTTTCCGTTGCGTCACGTGCCCTTGCAGCTGTGTGTGGCGACGGAATTGGCTCTGCTGTTGGTCCTGAGGTAAATCAATGCAGACATCGTTTGGGCTAGAGGCGTTGTCAGTTTTGCCCAGGGATCGTCACGGCCTCTAGACCTGCCGTTGTTGCATGAAGTGAGCGTTCTTGCTTGTATGAATGCACTGCTCTATTGTGCCAGATGCGGGGCAGTTGTGTTGTTGCTCTGATGTGAAGGGTGAACTGTCATTACCAGATACTAAGTGACTCGCATGCAACCCATATCATCACCCGCTGTGCAGGAAGCTTCGAACAATCGCGATCACCCAAACAACATGCACTTGCGCGGCAATGTTAAGCAGAGTCGTTGCCGGTACTGCCAACGGCCGTTCACGTATGTTGTGTGAAAATGTCTGGTTTTACCAGTGGTTGCAGTCTTGAGCAGTTGGGCACCAGTCCACCGGGCAACACGTGACGATCCTCGTGGCATTTTTGGTGAACGGATGTCTTGAAATGCGTTGATCATGGCCCATTGCATCTCGTTTTTTCTTACTCAGGTTTTCCAGATTTTGCTGATGATATTCGGCGTGCACGCTGTTGAGGCCTATTTCCTCAATCCACAGGTACGATCTGCTCCGTTCCAGTTTGTGGAAGTTCCTTGACCAATTGGATGCGTGTTGGCAATGGGACTGGTGTGGAACACCTGTAGTTTTTGTGAAGTGTCACGTAGCTGCTCTGGTGCACTTGTGCTTCGAAAAATGTGTGCGTGGGCTATTTTGCTATTGCGCATACCTTTCTATAGACCCAATCCCTTGGTCGACGCCAATCACGACGTAGTCTCCGTAGTGGACATGATGAGAAGGTGAAGGATCCAAAGGTCGAGGTAGCTATGGCTCGCTACCGAGGGCAGGCAGGGTTTCTGCGCTGCTATTTGGGCAAGAGAGAGAGAGATTCCACAAAGTAGAGCGGTGCCACAAGTGGTTCGCCTGCTCATGCCAGGAAAAGGCGCATGGGAGATCCGTACATCCATCGTGGCCTCCCGAGTTCCAATTGTTCCAGGAATGCATCGATTTTTTTTTTTCCCTACAGTTTGAAGGCGTACGCATGGATATCATGGCCCAAAAATTCCAATCATGCACAGCTTTGCGGGGGCGGTAAGAGCCTAGCACTCTTGGTACCTTCGTGGTGCACACGACTGCAGCGCGGCAGTCGAGTCAAGTCACAACGCTCGTGACTGGTTGTTGGGTGTGGCTACATCAGATGCCACGCACGGTGATATTCTACCTGGTATCTAGCACCACTTTGCCGCTACGTCTTCGACAGGCTGCTGAGCCATTTTCGGTCGCTTCATGTAAAGCGTCGAAGTGCAAGCGCTTCTCTACGAATCCTTTTGGAATTGGTTCTTGATTGCGTCGCGGCCCTGCGGGAGCACCGCACTACAATTGTTGCCCTCTCGTAGGAGAAAAATCGAGTTACCCAATGTCACATGTGGGAGGTCAACTGAGGTACAACCCCCGCTTGTCTCGTGATACCTGTTGAATCCGGTATCGCCCCTATTCCTAGCTCGGCGTCTCAATCCCGCGGTGTACCAGTATCCCCCTTTCTGCACGGCATTGGTTTGTTTCTAACGCGTCCTCCCAACCCCGTGGCCGTGCAACGTTTTCGTGGCGGCAGATCTACGCGTCGAAGCTCAAGCTTCACCCCGTCGTGGTGATCGGAGTCCTCTACGTAGCCGAGCACCTGGTCGGAGTGCAGGGGCTCATCATGGCGGTGCCGTGCGCTGTCTTCGTGATCAACAACGTTATTCTCGGCAACGTTGGTGACGATGCCGCGGACGAGAGCGACTCCGTCGCAGAGCCTGCTTAGTCTAGCACCGCTAGGTCGGCGCCGTTCGGACTATTCCGCTCGGACAGGCGCTTCACGTAATGAACAACGTTGGAGAGCTGCGTGGAATCGCATACGCTTTGGTGGATTAAGGTTGTAAAGGGCGTGTTGGTACCGGTTCTCGAATCATGGTTTTTGTTCTAGGGCGTGGGGTGTAGATGGGTTTAACCTGTTCCCGAATATAAGTTTCCGCAAGACCGGGGTGGGTGTATATCGGCATGTGAAGCGGGGGGCAGAGCGCCTGATTCGTATGCAGGTGTGGTTGCAGGGTTGTCATAGAGGCATGCCTACGTTCCCTGTGGTCTGCGGAAGGTGATCGTCTGCTTGGTTGAGCGCTGTACACCACTGTGGGTGATGAGGTAGGCACTCCGAGGGGTAATAATGTGTTTTGTCTCAGTAACTGGGCAACAGATCGTACTCTTGGGCATCGGCACCATGCGAAGCTGAAGAGGGGTAAATAGCCATTCGAAACGAGTCGGTGTTGTGCGATATAGAGGGGGGGGGAATATGTACTTCAAGTCATGTGTTGGGCGTCTCTCGTGCGTGATGCGTGAGAAAGGCGTTTGTTGCTTCAAGGCTCTCCTGTAGTTTCAGCAAATGTATCGTCTGGATGATTGCACTCATGCTGGGCCTTGTTCCTGGAGTGTTGCCGAACGTGTTACATGCATCTATCGTTGCACGGCGAGGTCGATAAAGGGATTATCGCTATACGTACGTGCTCCACGAGCAACAAGCTGTAGCTTGCGCGGTTTTAGCGTTTGGGGGTGGGTGGAATATCGGACGTGTTGCCGAATGTGTTACATGCATCTATCGTTGCACGGCGAGGTCGATAAAGGGATTATCGCTATACGTACGTGCTCCACGAGCAACAAGCTGTAGCTTGCGCGGTTTTAGCGTTTGGGGGTGGGTGGAATATCGGACGTGTTGCCGAATGTGTTACATGCATCTATCGTTGCACGGCGAGGTCGATAAAGGGATTATCGCTATACGTACGTGCTCCACGAGCAACAAGCTGTAGCTTGCGCGGTTTTAGCGTTTGGGGGTGGGTGGAATATCGGACGTGTTGCCGAATGTGTTACATGCATCTATCGTTGCACGGCGAGGTCGATAAAGGGATTATCGCTATACGTACGTGCTCCACGAGCAACAAGCTGTAGCTTGCGCGGTTTTAGCGTTTGGGGGTGGGTGGAATATCGGACGTGTTGCCGAATGTGTTACATGCATCTATCGTTGCACGGCGAGGTCGATAAAGGGATTATCGCTATACGTACGTGCTCCACGAGCAACAAGCTGTAGCTTGCGCGGTTTTAGCGTTTGGGGGTGGGTGGAATATCGGACGTGTGCAAGCGTTTACTTAAAAGAGCTCTGTTGTTGATATTGCTCTACGTGGAAGAACCGATAGCAGGTCGTAGACATGATTTATGTGTACATTACTTTAGTACAAAAACGTTTACAAGGAAGGAATGCTTTAGCGGCAGGTTCCAGAGGATGGCCCAGAACGCGAGGCTGGATGCACTCCTGCCCCAACCTGCGATGAAGAGACTTGCGTGACATCGGGAGATAAATGAGATAGAGGGGGTCGCATCGAAGGGCACGACGACAACAATTTTCACCCTCATCCCACAGCATGTATGCACAATGTCGTGTTTTACTCATGCTGTACTACCGTGTTCCTCCACAAGATGGCAACCACAAAGGATACCACACGCCGCACAGAATACCACATCGGCAAGCATCCGGTGATAATATTATTTCGGCTCAAACATGAGCAAACGGTAGGTCACTCAGATGAAGATTACGGCCGCCGGTGAGGCCCTGCAGTCTAAGTTTAAGGCAACGAATCTTGAAATATCATGAATGTGTTGTGACTTCCGGTGTTGCATGAAGACGGTGCATACAAATAGTGCACACCAGTAGTACAGTCGGACGATGACAGGAAACACACGCTTGTAAGACGAAGCAAGCTCCGCAAAGCAAGCTCCGTATCTCTCGTACATTGGCATCGTAGGGCGTAAAGATCTCGACGATTCATTCATGGAGTAGTACAGGCAAGGGGAGCCCACACAACAACGGTCAAAGCCGCCATTGTACTGGTCCCCTCCGCTTTGCCCATGTTTCCCACGGCGTATTATTCCCCACGGGCCTCGTCGTCGCTCGTGCCTGGGTGACCTGTTCAATCCCTACTTGAAGATCGTAGGAGAGGCGGGGCTTTCCGAGGACTTGTGTACTCACAGGTGAGTGCCGCTGAGTTTGTGGCAATAAATAGCTGTGTTCCCTTCCTCTCGGTCATGCCACACACTCACCCGCACGAGAGTTGCCAAATGACACACCCTTTTGCGCACGGATCCTCTCGGCGAGCCGATCGATGAATCTACAGCAGATAGATTATGCTGCTGCGTAGCTTACCAGCGCTGCGGTAGATACACGTGTTTACCTCCACAGTGAACCGCAAGCTGTCTACTTCCTCTGTATCATAAGTTAGGGTCCCTAAATTTGTACGGGCCCTTAACCGTGTCTGATCTGTTTTCCGATTTTTTTGTTGAAATCTTCGGAGTTTTTTTAGCAAGAAACATTTATTTTTATTTTTATGCATGCGCCACCCCGCGTGCATGAGCGGCCGAGAAAAAACCAGTCGGCCTGAAAAAGGCCGTATTTTGCATGTATCCTGCCCCCTCCGACCAGGCGGGGGGGGCGGGGCAATGACAAAAACAAGGTAAAAATACCAAGAATTATCCCTGACCCTAGACCTAGCCCCCCCTCTACTCAACGATCCATGATGCGTCCCCCGTACTAAAAACAGCATAATAGTGGCCCCACACTGAAAACAAGACACTTGGGGTGACCACACTAAAAACAAGACACTTGCGGGGCAAAGCAAGCAACAGTAGGGCCCTCATCCAACCCCCCCCTCTACTCAACGATCCATGTCGCGCCCCCTATACTAAAAGCAGTATAGTAGTGAACCACACTAAAACCAAGACACTTGGGGGGGCACACTAAAATCGAGACACTTGCGGGACAAAAAAGAGGGTTGGTTGGTGGCGGGGAAAAAATAGAAAAAGTCGACAATTCCTACCGCCATGGCATAGCGCCTACCAACCGATAATTCGGTGCCCCTTTTGCGAGGTGGTGTGCTGGGGGGCGATTCCATCGCTAGAGT